AGATCCTACCTCAAAATAAATAAAAAGGCCTGTAGCTTAGTGGTACAGTCCCTGGTGGGTTCAAGTCCCAGGACCAAAAAGAAAAAAAGAACCAAAACTGATCACTTCAGAGGTACAGGGTTAAAAATGCTCAAAGATGGTTTACTTTTGTTTAAATATACTTCTCTATTTATTTATTTATTTAGTATGGGGGACTGACCCCAGAGGCATTTTACCACTGTGCTGTATCCCTAGTCCTTTTTATTCTATTTATTTCATTTATTTTGAGGTAGAATCTGGTTAAACTGCTGAAGGCCTTGCTAAGTTGCCCAGAGTTGCTAGGATTACAGTTGTGCACCGCTGTGCCTGACTGTTTTATTTTTATTCTTATAACCCTTTGGTTTTTATGATAAAAAATAGTTTGTAATTTCTTCTTTTTTTTAATGCGAAATCAAATTCCACAGTTGAGCAGTGGATTTTCCATTGGCTAGTGATTTTAGAAGTGGAAAGAATTACAATAACTGTAGATGAATGTTCAATTCCTCATTTTAAAATTAGCTTGGGATGGGGATATAACTCCGTGGTACAGTGCTTGCCTAAAGTGCAGAGCACTGGGTTTTATATCCAGCACCTAAATAAAATGAGCTTTTTTTTTTTTTTTCACTTGTTCATTGTCCGTCTCTCCCACTAGAGAAGAAGTTATGTGATTACCAACACCTACATGCTTCCAACAGCCCAGTCCCAGCAACATTCCCTAAAGCAAAGCCATAGCCTGCTTCTGCTCTTGCCCTCTATATTCGTTTGCTAGGGCTGCCATAAGGAAGTGTCGTAAACTGGGCCGCTTAAAACCTCAAATGTCTCACAGTTCTGGAGGCTAGCCATCTGCAATCTCAGGGTCACAGGGCCTTGTTCTCTCTGAAGCCTCCAGGAGAGGAGAATCTGTTTGCTACCAATCCTTGGTGTTCCTGGGCTTACAGGTGCCACATTTTGATCCCTGCCTTCTTTGACACATGGCCATCTCCCCTCAGCTGTCTGGTCTCTTTTCTTATCAGGACAGGAGTCATAGAGTGTCATATGATTCCAGTAGGATCCTATATTTCCAAAAATGGTCATGTTCCTTTTTTGAGGGGGGATGTGCTGGGAATGGAACATAGGTCCTCTTGCATGCTAGTCAAGAGCTCTAGCACTGAGCTATATCCCCAGTTCTTCTGATTTTGAGACAAGATATCACTACGTTGCTGAGGAGCTCCCTAAAGTTGCTGAGGCAGGCGTTGAAGTTGCGATCATCCTGCTTCATATTCCTGATTTACGGGGATTATAGGTGTGTGGCAACACAACCAGCAAGAGATAGGACTTAAACAAATATATATATATACTAACCCTAACCCTAAACCCTAACCCTAATATATATATATATATATATATATATATATATATATATATATATATATATATATATATATATATATATATATATATATATATATATATATATATATATATATATATTTTGTACTAGGGATTGAATCCAGGGTACTTTAGCACTGAGCCATATCCCCAGCCCTTTTTAATATTTTTATTTATTTAGAGACAGGGTCTCACTAAGATGCTTAGGGCCTTGAAACAAATCTTTTTGAATGGAGGGGAGGCACATAATTCAACCCATGAACCCATGACACTCTCCCACGTTAATACTCCACAGATCTGCTTCAGTGAACATATTTTTTTCCGGGGTGGGTGGGGACTGGGGATTTAACCCAGGGATGCTTAACTACTGAGCTCCACCCCCAGTCCTTTTTATTTTTTTGTTTTGAGACAGGGTTTTACGGAATTGCTGAGCTTGGCCTTGAACTTGCAATCCTCCTGCCCCAGCCTCTCAGGTTTCTGGGTTTACAGGTGTGCACCACCACGCCCGACTTGAATGAACTTTTAAACATATACATTTCATCTCTCTCCTGATTTCTCATTACATGGAACAACATCCAAACTGGAATCCCCGTTCTGTACTCCATCTGGTTCCTGCCTTTTTCTCCACCCACCTCTTTCCAACCTGGTTTTCCTAATCTCTGCCAGGCACATTGTCTTCATATGCCCCTAATGTTTCAGGCTCCTTCCCCTTCAGGTCTTTGCTCTTCCTTCTTCCCAGAATGTGCTTCTCCCGGAAATCTGCCTTGTTCTCTTTCTCACTTCCCCCAAGTCTTTCCGCCCAGGGTTCCAGATCTAGAGAATAGAGTTCACTCCTGCCCACTCTCTCTGTTCCTGTTCAGTTTCTTTTTTTTTTTTTTTTTACACCAGTGATTGAACCCAGAGGTGCTTAACCAGTGAGACACACCCCCATCCCTTTTTGTATTTTATTTAGGGACAGGGTCTTCATTGATTTGCTCTGGGCCTCACTAAATTGCTGAGGCTGCCTTTGAACTTGCAATCCTCTTGCCTCAGCCTCGGGAGTTGCTGGGACCACAGGCATGTGCTGCTGTGCCTGGCCTGTTCAGTGCTGCACCTCATTCTATTCCATGTTTGTTCGTTTACTAGACTTTGTCTCCACTGGCAAGTAAATTCCATGAGGGCCACTCACACTGTCTAGCCACTGGAGATCAAGTTCATACATGCTAGGCATACATTGTACTACCAAGGTACATCCTCAGCCCAGAGGCACCTTTATTCCCTTACTGGAGATTGAACCCAGGAGTGGTCTACCACTGAGCCACGCCCTCAGCCCCTTTTATTTTTTATTTTGAGCCAGGGTTTCCCTAAATTACCCAGGCTGACCTGGAACGTTTGATCCTCTTGTCTCAGCCTCCCCAGTCAATAGGATTACAGGTGTGCCACCTCACCCAGCACAAAGGGATTTTTAAGAAATTCAAAATCCTTGCAGATATTTTTAATTAAATTCCTCCTCCTCCTCCTCCTCCTCAATTTAGTCTTGGAAATTAAATCCCAGGGTACTCTAGCACAGAGCTATATCCCCAGCTCTTTTTATTCTTTTTTTTTTTTTTTTTCTGAGACAGAATCTCACTAAGTTGCTGAGGCCTTAAATTTCGATCCTCCTGCCTTAGCCTTTCAAATAGCTGAGATTACAGGCATGTGCCACCAGCCCAGCTTAAAATACTTTCTTTTTTTTTTTTTTTTTTTAGTGCTGGAAATTCAACCCAGGGATGCTTTACTACTGGGTTACATCCACAGCCTTTTTTTATTTTTTATTTTATTTATTAAAAAATTTAGTTGTTGATGGACCTTTATTTTTCGTTTATTTATATGCAGTGCTGAGCATCAAACCCAGTGCCTCACACATGCTAGGCAAGCAGTCTAGCACTGAGCCACAACCCCAGTCCCCTTTTTTATTTTTTGAGACAGGGTCTCACTAAGTTGCTGAGGCTGTCCTTGAATTTGTGGCCATCCTGCTTCAGCCTCCCAAATTGTTGGGATTAAAGTTATGCCCCACTGCACACAGTTTAAATTACATTTTGAACAGGCAACCCACTTAGGTGGCTGAAAAATCAAAATGGTATGAAAAGGTTCCTGGAGAAGTCTAATTTCCATTCCTGTACTCCATGTAGTTCCCTCTACCCCAACAGGAAAATGTTTTTATTATTCTCCCAGGATTTCATTATGCAAATACCACATATTTCCTTATATATTCATATTTTCCTGTCTTATACCAAAAATACCGTATATACATATATTTACATATATATTCTTTTTTCCCCATCTTACACCAAAGATATTATTATATACACAGTCAGAACCTTGAGTTTCTGTTTCTTGAAAGTATTTCCTGGACATCATTCCAATGGTTTAGAACTTTCTTCTTATTTTTCCTTTACAGCTATGGAGTGTCCCCCCAGAAGACACATCATTATTTATTTATTTTATTTTTCAATTTTTGCTAGTGGGGATGGAACACAGGGGTGCTTTACCACTGAGCCACATCTCATCTCAGCCCTTTTTCATTTTTTATTTTGAGACAGGGTCTTGCTAAGTTGTTTAGGGCTTCACTAAATTGCTGAGGCTGACCTTGAGCTTGTGTTCCTCCTGCCTGAGCCTCCTGAGTTGCTTGGATTACAGGCATAGACCAACATGCTTAGCCACAGCATAGTTTATTTTACCAGTTCCCCACTGATTTAAACATTTGATGTTTCTCATCTTTTGCTATTACCAAAAATGTGGGTCACGGTTTTTAATTTATTTTTTATTGTTTTATGTATTTATTTTTTTGGTACCAGGGATTGAACCCAGAGGCACTTAACCACTGAGCCACATCCCCAACACTTTTTTAAAAACATTTTTTTATTTGTTGATGGACATTTATTTTATTCATTTATTTCTATGCACTGCGGAGAATTGAACCCAGTGCCTCACCACATGTGAGACAAGCACTCTACCACTGAGCCACAACCCCAGCCCTCCCCAATCCTTTTTATGTTTTATTTTGAGACAGGGTCTCACTAAGTTGCTTATGGCCTAGTTGCTGAGGCTGTCCTTTAACTTTTGATCCTTCTGCCTCTGCCTCCAGAGTTGCTGAGATTACAGGTGTGTGTCACCACACCCAGCTCAGAGTTTTTTTATTCTATGCTAACTCTCCACTGCTCAGTCTTTTTTCCCCCATATTTTTTTTATTGGTGCAATATAGTTTACATAATGGTGGGATTTTTTGAGATGTATTTGTACATGCACACAGTTACCACCATATAATTTAAACCCCCACAAATCTTGAAGTCTTCCCGCAGAGTACGTTGTCGACGAACACTCAGAGAAAACTTGAATAAGTGTATAGACGAGTGGGTGAATGCATGAGTGGACGAATGAAGGGCGAATGAACCATCAATGAGCGAGCCAAGGAGGCACGCAGGATGCAGGGCACTGAAAGCAGTTCAGGTGCAGTCGGCCTGTGTGCTGTGCTGCGGCGAGACCCCCGCTAGGTGGCGCTGCAGACGGCGGGCGCGCCTGGCCAGGCGGGGATGGTCGCTCTTGCCGTGCACGCCGGCTGCGGCGCGGGGCCCAGCGTGGGGGGTAGGGCGAGTCATATGACCCGCTTGGCTTCCTGGCTCCGGCCGCCGCCGCCCGCCCGTGTCCGCCCGTGTCGCGCCGGGGCCCCGAAGAGCCGTTGGCGGGGTCCGGGCTGAAGCCCGCTGGTGTGGAAGTCTTCGTCGCCGTTGTCTCCCGCCGTCCCGTCCGCCTTCGCTCAGCGCCGTCATCATGCTGGCGCTCATCTCCCGCCTGCTGGACTGGTTCCGCTCGCTGTTCTGGAAGGAGGAGATGGAGCTGACGCTGGTGGGGCTGCAATACTCGGGCAAGACCACCTTCGTCAATGTCATCGCGGTGAGCGTCCGCCCTGGTTCGGCCGCCCGCGGGTCGGCGGGCTCCTCCCCTAGGGCTGGGGTCAGGTCGCCCCCTCTGGGCGCGGCGGGACGGGCGGGGGCCTGTGACCTGACCGTCCCCTACCGGGGGTCCGGAGGCGGCTTTTCGCGCGCCGGCGGCCGAGGTCGGCAGCGGCAGGGTTAATCATGCCTTTGAACGCGACCGAGGCCCGGGGACAGGGTCGCCCGGAGCTTGTCACGTTGTTTAAAGTGCTGTTGTTGTGGGGCTGGGAGGGAGTGTGGAGTCTCTCGGTTTGGCTCCGTGTGGAAGCAGCTCAAGGGTTACACTCCAGTCCGTCGCTCTCCCTTTAGGGTGGGATTTGGCGTCGAGTGAGCGTAAAGAAAGAAGAGCCCTTTTTTTCAAGTTGCTGCTTGGGACCAAGTGGCCCATTGTTGAGGCCAGGAGAGCGGTGTGGGCGCCCTACAGAAGAATTCTGAGGGCCGCTTGACCTCTCTCTGAATTCACTTACTGGTTTCCACTGGTCTTCCTAAGGTCGAAGATTCAGCCGATGGCAGAGGGGAGGGACAGTTCCACCGAGTCCACGGTAGTCCTAGTGTTTATGAAGCCAAGGAGTGGGGTGTGGGTGTGTTTTGCAGAGCTAATTGTCTTATTAAACGAATGGGCAAGATGGATCTTCTGCAGTCAGCGTCACGTTAACTGTCTTGCAAAAGGGGATTCGTCTTCTGCGTATGCTTCTCACTTGAGAAGGGAGTGCCAGGAACCGAACTTATGCCAGGCCCAGGGAATGGGTGTTAGGGCGGGAAATGGCTCTGAGAACTTACATACAATGCGGTGTTTATTCAGCAGTGGTTAAGTAGGATGGTTATTCGGTTGTGCGTTTTTGGGTTGGGGAAGGAATAGGAGTGAAGGATTTCTCCTCTGTCTTTACTTGGAAAGTTGCTGTGATTCAGTGTTGTCTGGTAGGGGCTTGGACTTGCCAGGGATGAGCTTTAGAACTGTTCTGAAGAGAGATTGTGGCAGTTCTTTCGCCTTTTAGATCACTGTTGAAATCTTTATTTAACTGGCCGTCCAACTGGTTTGGTTACAGGAGTGATTCAAACACTTGTTGGAGAAAATACGTAGCTTGTGACTCTTAGTCCTTGCAGTATAGAGCAACAGGGGTGAGTAAGACTTGGAGGAAGCAAGATTAGTAGAAATCAAATGTCTTTTGGAGAATATTGCATATAAGTATAAAGGAAAATTGCCAACTGGTTTTACTCCTTTTGTAATTTATTATTTTTCTTAAAATGACTGTCTTTTAAATATCTGCTGTGACTAATAAGGAAAAACAAACTTTAGGTCATGTATTCATATTAAAACTTTAATATAATATGAAAAAGGTGAGGCTTTAGCCTGAGTGGCCTAAATTTTCTGATATTTACTTAAATCAAACTTTGACAAGGTTGATTTGTGCAATCAACTGCTTCTTGCAGAAAAGTAGTTGTGCATGGAAAATATTAAAAAGTTGAGTGAATATTTGAGAAACTTGTTGATTTAAGTACTTATATCTTCAGTAAACATTATAACTTAATATTATAAGCTTGAACTTTGATGTCAAGGAACCCTGATTTTGAAATCTGGATCTGCCACAGCTTCCTTGAGTCCTTGCTTCTCATCAATTAAAAGCAGATAATAATATGTTTCTTATAGAATTGTTCTGAGGATTAAATGCAGTGGAAAATGTTCAGTGACTAGCAGTATGCCTTCCCATTTAAGGGGTAGCTAAGTGGCAACTATTGTTATTATTTGTAGTGTCTCTATCTATTTAATGCAGAAACAATGAAAAATACCGAGAAAGGCACTCAGCAGTGATTGTTTCCTTTGAATCTCAGGTTGTACCTAAATGCCAGCTACAGTAGTAGATTTAAGGCTGTTGTAAAGTAATCACATCATGCTCTCTCCTTTCACATTAGTTTATTTTAGTTAACAACAGCATAACTTTTGCAGAGATGTTGAATTCACAGTGACACAGTGGTTTTAACTATTAATCTTAGATATTCTCTGAGGTAAAATGGTGTGGAGAGGCTTTGTTAAGAAAATCTGTCATCACAAAAATGATTAGGATATATCAATTAACTTGATGTAATCATTCCACATTATATAATTCATAAAAACAATTCTGATTCATTAATTTAAAATAATATTAGTTTTAGAAAGGAGTAAAAAACCTGTACTATAATTGACATTGGCCTTCAGAATGCTGAAAGAGGTACCTTATAAACCTTAGACTCTGATTTTTTTAACCTTTATTTTATTAATTTATTTTTATGTTATGCTGAGGATCGAATCCAGTGTCCCACATGTGCTAAGCAAGTGCTCTACCATTGAGCTGTAACCCTGACCCCAATCTGTGATTCTTATAGAATATATTGAGGGTGAAGAAAATGTTAGTGATTTAAAGGATTTTTAGATAAAAATGATGTATCTAAAGTATTAAAACAATCCAGGTGTGGTGGCTCATGTCTGTAATCCCAGCAGCTTGGGACACTGACACAGGAGGACTGCTACTTCAAAGCCAGCCTCAGCAAATGTGAGATGCTAAGCAACTCAGGGAGACCCTGTCTCTAAATAAAATACAAAATAGAGCTAGGGGTGTGGCTCAATGGTCAAGTGCCCCTGAGTTCCATCCCGAAACACCCCCCGCCCCCCACCCAAAAAAAAATTGAGCCTTATTAAAAATATTTTTTGAACAAATTATTAACTAATCAAGTATAGATTCATCAAATTTAAATATCACTGTATCTATCTTAAAAGGTAAGACAGTTTTAATAGATATAATTTATCTTACTCAAAAGGTTTGTGAAGCTGAACTACTTAAAAGTAGGGTTTGGTTCAATTCTAAAAGATGAGGCTGTTAAGTTAAAGTTACAGAGATGTTTAGTCTTCAAATACTTACTCATAGGGTTGTGTTTTTTTTTTTTTTTTTTTAAGTTACGCTGGGGATTGAACCCAGAACCTACTACATGCTAGGCAAGCACTCTGTCACCCCGCCCAACTCATAGGGTTTTGAAACTGAAACGATACCTCATTTTATCTAATATTTTATGAAGGAACATTTGATTTACATAATGTTCTCTTTTGTTTTGAACATTGTAAAAAGAAACACCTGTGGACTTTAATTTTAAAATTAATGTTTGTTTCAGGGAATGAAATAAAGCCCGTTGTTAACTATTCTGGCAGTTATTGCATAATAAGTCATGTGTGTTTTGTGTGTAGTGAATATTGAGTGATCTTTGGAACTCTTACAGTTTATAGTATAGTTACCTAGAAATAATGAGTGAATTTGCCAAAACGTTGTACAACAGATTTTTATAAATGGATAAAATGGATATTGTTATGAAAATTTATCTATACTTTAACAGATTTTGCTAATCAGGAAGGTTAGTCCATGGAAATTAATTACTACTGAGAATTAAGAAAAGAAAATGTGTGGGAAGATTGTAGATATCTGAATCCAGAGTCCTTTTTTTGGGAGGGGGTGATACTAGGGATTGAACCTGTGGTGCCAGCCCTTTTTATTTTTTATTTTGAGACTGGGTCTTGTTAAGTTTCTGAGACTGCCCTTGAACCTGTGGTCCTTCTGCTCAGCCTCCCAAGTTGCTAGGGGATGACAGGCATGCATCACTGTGTCCATCTTTAGTGTCTTTTAAAAAAAGAGTTTGTAACAGCCTTCCTTATTCTAACTTTACCCTTATTTCAAAGAGTGGCCATGAAGTCCAGAGAGGCAAGTGAAATTCCAAAGTCAGCAATGCTAGGAAATAGCAAGGATAGAGTTATAACCCAGGAAAATGCACTTTCTTCTTTTTTTCATGGCCTCTTTGGATCCAGCTGAGGTTAGAACCAGAGAGCTTATAGTTGGACGATTTTAATCGTTTAAAAATAATTTTCATGCCTGGTGTGGTTGGTTGTGCACGCCTGTATTCCCAGCAGTTCGGGAGGCTGATGTAGGAGGATCAGAGTTCAAAGCCAGCTTTAGCAAAAGCGCTGAGTAACTCAGTGAGACCCTGTCTCTAAATAAAATACAAAATAGTGCTGGCGATGTGGCTCAGTAGTCTAGTTCCCCAGAGTTCAATCCCTGCTACAAAAAAAAAAAAAAAAAAAAAATCATTTTTGTGTGCTGGTGATGTTGGGCAGTGCTAAAGCACTTGATTAAAGTATGTAAGATCTGGGTTTAATCTTCAGCATACACACACAAACGCAAAAACTCTTCTCACATATAATATGCTCATCTATTTAGCAGAGCTGGGGATCAAACTCAGGTCTTCACACGTGCTTTGCAAGTGCTCTACCAATGAGCTATACTTCCAGCCCTCCAAATTTGCATGGCATTTTTATATTCAGGCACTTTTCTTTCCTACCATACTGGGGATTGAACCTCTGGCACCCTGTCACAGAGCTACATCCTCAGCCTTTTTAATTTTGAGACTGAGTCTTGCTAACTTGCCCAGACTGGTCTCCAGCTTGCCTCAGCCACCTATGTACCTGTGCTTACAGGCCTGTGCCACTGTACCTGTCTGCGTTTAGGCATCTTAAGTATGTGTGTTTGCAAACTATTACATGTAAGGACTTGAAGTATTTGTGTGTATTATATATGTTATATATACACTCATGTATATGGACATTAGGGAAAGGAGTGAATGATAATCAGTGGAAAGGAAGAGTAGTGGAAAACTATGTTGACATATTTAAATAACTGGCTAATAGGCATTGTTGAGTTTTTTGTTTTGTTTTGTGCTGGAGATAGAACCCAGGGGAGCTTAACCACTGAGTTACACCCCAGCCCTTTTTAAAAAATATTTTTATTTAGAGACAGGGTCTTGCTGAGTTGCTTATGGCCTTGCTGAGTTGTTAAGACTGGCTTTGAATTATAATCCTCCTGCCCCAGCCTCCTGAGGTGCTAGGATTACAGATGTGTGCCACCACTCCTGACTGGACTACTTTTAATATATGAAGATTAGAAA